TTTTGATTTCTTTAATTAACAATTAATATCCTAGAATGCATTTCAACTTTTTTCATAACTCTCTTCAGCAGGTTACATACACACATTTTAACAATATGTTGTTATAATTAAAATACACAGAGAAAAAACTAATAAAATAATGAAATACAATACACAGATAAACCAACATTTATATTACTATATAACCACTATATAAAACATTATAACAATAATATAACAATAAAACAAATCGCGTAACATCGCGCCCCAGAGAAGGCAACGGGAAACCACTCTGGGTACTAACCTTCCCTAGTAACACCTTGGCGTATTATTAACTACTTACTAATCTGTGCCGGGTGTCGCCGACGTCAGAAATCTGATATGGCACCAAGAAGAAGAAGAAGAACAATAATTATAAAAGATCTTAATAAAACTGATGTTAATTTACCAAACACTGTAACCATACTTAAAGTTAATTCTCTACCTTACATATACTGTTGTATGATAAACAGTATATGTTCTTGATAGTTCTTGACAGTTTCAGTACAGTTCTTGATAGTTTTCATTTTGGTATGTTTTTTATCTTCTTTTTCAAGTCCATTACACCACAAAACAAATTTTCAATTTTTCTGCCCTCAGCTATTGTGCTGTAATAAAGAGCTGTTTTTGCTGAATGTAAGGTCACTTGCATTTCTTGGCTCTAGCACATAACGAAAGCTGAAGAACAGTGAGACTGAGGCTTTTCCACAGCATTTAGCAGTGCTGCTGAGCAGCATCTTAACTGGACAGCCAATCTAAACCCCTTCTAGCACTGAAACAATGAATTTGAAGAACTATGTTTATAGAACATTTTTGGATCCCCTAGACCTTTAGAACATACTGCATATTTTCAATAATTAACAGAGAGATAACTTCACACCAAATGAGATTGAAAAGTAATAATAATAAAGAACCTCATTCAACATATAGTCTTTTTTTTGTTTCCAGTATTGTTTAATGATAAATGTTTAAAGACAAATGTTTTCAATCTAGGCAAGATCTTCCTCAGATCTACATAAAATGAAATGCATTTTGGAATGTTAACAAATTTTGAAGAAGAAAAAAAAAAAAAAACCTTTCAAATTCATAAAATACAAAAACTTGTACAGTATTTTTGTAACCAGAGAAAAAATACAAGAAAAAGTATAAAAATAAACATTAAAAATCGATGTATCCAGTATATTATCAAGATGACGCAATCCCTTTATGTGTTTTCATTAAACATTTGTTTATCATTAAACAGTACTGGAAAACAAAAGGTTATGTTGAACGAGGTTTTTTATTTGTAATAATTAATTCACATTGTTATACTTTATCTATTTACAACATTATATTAAATAAACTATTAATTTCAAATAGCTTGACTTACAAGTACTAATATCTCAAAAATAAAACAAGAGTTTGTTTCACATTTATTTATATTATAACTTTTGAACAGATTTTTCAGCTTAGAAAAACATTTTATTTCTAATTTCTAAATACAAAATTAGCAAGTCTAATTTACAAATACACAGATATACAAAATAAGAAAAACAGTTTAGGTATATAATTTTGCTACCAGTTATTTTTATATTTCTTCTATGTATTTAGAAAACAAACATTCAATGCATCACTTTTTTCACATAACTAAATTCTTTAGCATATTGTCCAGAATAATTTTTTGTAATTATATTTATTTATTTATATTTTTTCACATTTAATGAGTTTTTATTCCATTAATATTTACCATAATGATGATTACTTTTAGAAAAAACATCCATCACTATCAATTGTTATGCACACAATTTTTTTCTTTTTTTGTTTTAAACTTTCTCTGTTGAAACAAGAGTATCCCAGTATCTTCCTAGGAAATCTCTAGCTGCCATTTTTTTATGTTTGATATGATGATATAATTACAGTAGAGCGTTGTTTATCCGAAAGTCAATTATCCAAAACGTCAATTATCTGAAAGAATTCCAGTCAGCAAATTTAAATTTTCGCCAGTGCTGTGGTGCTGCAATCTTTGACTATGTCTTGGGCTACTCAAATATTTTACGTTTTTGATACTAAATTAACTTCTGAAGTATAATTTTTTATTCTTTTTATATTTTTCAATATATTTATTTTGTTTGTACAAAATAAAAAAATAATTTTTAATGATACAATAGTCATTAGGCTTAACATCGACGAAAATTCAACATGAAGCGACATGCAACAGAGAAAAATTTCAACATGCGATAGGTTAATATATTTTTTCGTACATAATCGGTTATCCGAAATATTGATTTTCCGAACAACCCCAGTCCCCAATTGATTCGGATAAACGATGCTCTACTGTATTGTAAAAAAAAATAAATTTAAAATGGAAAAAATAAAATTTAGAAAGTGAATAAAAAACAAAAAAGTATTAAATTATTTGTTTGTTTCAAAATATGTGTTATAAGCATAAAAATGTTTAAGAGCAAGATGACAAATGTGAAGTTCTCCATTTTTGGAATTCCATACCAAAATGTTAAAAACAGAAAAATATTGATCAGTGAAATGAACAAAACTTAGTACCATATTCAGATAAAAGAATCTCAATCTGTTTTTGAAAAAGTTAAAAATAAGGATTTATAATAAATATTTTTGGTATATCATTTGGCCAAACAGTAGACCAAAATGTTCCTGATTTATGTTCCTAAAAAATGTATTATAGACCATCTTGTATCTAAATTATCTGAAACTTTAAAATTTAATAAGTTATGTCTTTATTTAAAAGTAGTATACTAAATTACTGATGTATACTAAATAACCAAATATAGTACATCATTAATTGTTCAAGTGATAAAATATTAGAGATTTTAAAATTTTAACAAGAATTTTTTTAAATTTCTAGTTTCAATTGACTTATTTGGTTCATTTTCGAATAGAAAGGTGTTAAATATTTAATATAAATGTTGATGAGATTAACATTGGGTTTTGAAATACAGTTGAACTGCCTTAAAATAAACACTGATAAAGCATATTTTGCCATTGCCCCAGCAAAACACCAGTCACAGCATTAATTTTCACACAATAAAGCAAACAGAAATTTTACTAGTATTCATTAAACTGAACTGTGCATAGCTTGTAAAAAATCCTGTAAACCCACTTTTCAGTTTTAGGATGTTATATCAGAATGATGAAGCTCATGCTCTACCAGATCTAAATGACAGAGGCACATACTGAAAACTATAATAAAATGCTTCTAAATATCACTTATGGTAGCTATGCTACCATAAGTGATATTTAGAAGCATTCTATTATTACCTATATTTTATTACATTCTATTAATGTATGTCTCTTTAATCTGAATGACTATTAAGTTCAGTAGAATATCATTACAGCTTTCAGGTTAGACACTTCTTTTATTAGACACATTTTCCTTAAAAATGTTTTTAATATTACTGTACTGCATGTAATTAACCCGTAAAACAGTTATTATAATTACAGTTACTCCAATGTTATGTTATAGAAAATACACATTCTTTAAAAGATGTACTTATGTTAAAAGTGGGGTTTCTTTATGAATGTGTGAAAAGTGTATTTTTGGTGTTTTTAATAACTGTATTGCATTCCAACATTACCAGTTATACACCGTGGTTTTAGAAGACAGAACCATAGGTATCATATAAGTGTGACAATTTTAATATTGCACTAAAGGGGGCTTAGCCTTTATATAAGACTAAAATGCATATGAGAAAACAATAAAAGAAGTGTCTAACCTAAAAGCTGTAATGACAGTCTACCAAACTTAACAGTCATTCGGATTAGAGAGACATACATTCATAGAATATACAGGTAACCCCCGTATAACACGGCACTTCTATAGCACGAATTCACTCTAACACGGTTCGGAAATTGGGAACATCCCCCGTATAACACTGTGCTTTTATAGCATGGGTTCACTCTAACACAATTCAAGAATTGGGTAAAACCTCATACAACATAAAATGTAATAAAGAGTGCGTTCTTTTATACCTCTGCGTAACATCGCGCAAGCATTCTAATTTTTTCTTGGCTACTTTGAATGCTCTTTCAACAAATAATCGATTTAATGGTTAAATTTTACAATTGGGATCCTTCTTTTGCCTCTAAAACTTCATTTTAAAATTATAAATTCTTCCATCACGATACTATTGATACTGCGGGTGCCGCCATCTTTCTGCCTACAAACAGCAGCGTACCCCCGTTGCAGGGTGACCGCTATTAACGAACGCACCCAAAAACTATTACCAGTTGACGATGCTCATGCTGAGATCATCATATAGGATGAATAATCCTCTAATAAAATATTTACTTAAATAATAAATAAGTATTTTACCTGTGAAAAAAATGAATAATAAATCTGATTTAAATAAAGATTTAACAGCATGTTTTTTAATTTTTGGAACCTAACCCCCCCTTTTCGCACTAGTTCTTTTTTCATATAACACAAATTCACATAACATGGCAATTTTTTGGAACGTAACTCCTGTGTTATACGGGGGTTACCTGTAATAAGATGATATAAAATTTTCAATCATCTTTTGTTTAGTTTTATTCCATCTATTATTTTAATTCACTTCATCATTCTATTTTGTTGTTTTTTGTTTAAACACCATGTTCTCATATATTCAAGCAATATTTCAAAATAAAAAATGTGTATTCCATAAAAATTTTCTAGAACGTATTTTAAGTTCATTCCACTTTTATGTAGAATGTTTTTATTCAAATATTGTTTAGCTAGAGAAGCCTAAAATAAAGTGAGTAGAAGTACATTTTATATTAAAAAAGTTTATAAAGTTGTTTCTGTGTCTTATTTTATTATATATATTACATTAAACAGTAAATCATAAAATAAAATTGAGAATTAATTTCTTTAAAGATTGATGATCTATTTTATTAAGTTTAAAACATTTGTGTTCTAGTTTTAATAAACATTTCTCAGCAGCAAAAAATGTTACTGTTACTTCATTAAATACATAACTTCTTTTTTTAATTTAAATTGAAATAATTTTTAAAGCTTTATTGTATTTCCTACCTTTTTTCCTTTTCTTTTTTTGAGCTTCATCCTCTGTCCTTGCAGCACCAAGCAAAGTGAAAATGATGCCAGCTTGGGAATTAATACCTACAGCAGTGACAAGCATTTTACCACTGCCTTCCATTATATGAGTCCCTATATGAAAAAAATAAATATTGTTTATATAAATTTGACAATTCTGCATTTAACTATGAAAACAAACTATGAGTGCATATATGTTATGTATAATAAGAATTCTATATAAAATACAAACAATATGTTGTTCTTCATTCTGAATAAAAACTCCTGGAACTAAAAATTTTATCATCAAAACCTAAACTTTGACAACACGAATCTTGGTTCCAAACTGGCCATTTATTTTTTCTCCATAAGAATTATTTGTTCTTGATTTAATATTACTATAGATAAGTAGGAATAACAGAAAACAGTTTCTTTGTGATGAAATATTCCAATTATACTAATTTACTTTTATAATGTAAGAAGCTACATTAGTAAGATAAATTAGTGTATAATGATTAATTAATTTCAACTTGAAAATACAAAACACAGCTTCACACTGTAAATAAATCTGGACTTCTAAAGCATCAAAGTTGTTTTGTATGTATTAAACTAAAAAAATAACCAAAATTATAAAAATTTTATAGTATTATTTTAAAAGCCATTTTTTGAAAAATCATCTTATTTATATTAAATATATATTAAAAAAGTTTATAAAGTTGTTTCTGTGTAAATGCATAAAGTTTTATGTCGTCCATGTGACAGATGCGACAGTGTAAACTGTGTTGTTTTTCCATGTCTGATATTTAATATTTATATTTTTTTTATTGCAATAAAATATTCACGAATTACATCGGAATAAAAAATACCCCGTCCCGTAACCCACAAGAAAGAAGGTACCTATTTCCCTCTTTACTGTATTAGTTGCACTTTACATGCAGATAGTTCCTCTTCTCAACAAGTTTCCAAATGAGCTTTGAATACAAGTCTCAAAAGCTGTATTAGGTAAATCCTGATTAACTAATGAACGATGTATATCTGATGATTGCTGTGGATTTGAAGATAGCTGTATGCCTTGAAATTGCTGTATAGGCCTCAAAGATAGCATCTCCAAGCACTTTATTGAGTATAAACGGTGTGTGTATAGCTGCCTGTTTCTGAAGGATACTAATATCAATGTTGAATTCTAATTGATTTATGTATTTCTTTATGTTTTCGCTACTATTCCTGTTGCTCCTATTACTATTGGAACAACAGTTGTCTGTGTATTCCACAGGTGGTTAACTTCCAATTTCAGAAAATGATATTTACTCAATTTTTCAATTTCTTTAGCACCAATGTTATAATCTGATGGTACAGTTATATCTATTAAAAATGTTTTATTACGATTTTTATCAACATAAATTAAATCTGGTCTATTGTGAGATACAGTGACATCAGTTTGGACAGGCATTTCCCATAGTATCTTGGCCGAACTATTTTCCTTAACTTGTGGCTGGAGTAATATTTCCATCCACTATTGGTCAGCAACTTCTATTTTATGTTTTCGGGCCAGGCACCAGTAGACGTACTGGACAAGGTTATTATGACGTCTTACATAACTAGTCCCCGCCAGTTTTTCACATCCTGATATAATA